TAACGAAGGAAGAGGAACGGCATTCTAAGTCTTTCTAAGAGGACGACTAAGTTAAGAAAACGATGTAAAACGAATAATATGCAGCGAAAGGAGACTGAAACCAGACCAAAGTTATCAACGGCTTGGTCTTCCTATCAACGAGGAATGCAATTTATAGGGAAGCTGACTCCTGTACATTGATCTTCTACCATAGCTAAGATAGTTAAATAAGAATGCTTATTTCAGATAATTTTTTATGTTTAGACAAAATCCCTTGCAGTTGTGGGCGCTTTTAGAAAAAGGGAATAAAAGTTAATTTCAAATTTTGTTTTAAAGTAGGCTTTCGAGAATACTGGTAGATCTAGAATAAGAACTACCCAGCCTTCCTTGAAATTTACTTCCGCTCTGTCAATCAAAGATACTTGTGGCAATGGGACTCATTAGATAACGTGTCGAGATAACGGCTCGGGTTCGAGTCCATCTGGGGGTGCTGATGAAACCTGCTCAGGCGAGCTCGAAACTGCCGTCCACTTCTGTCTGGATAAGAATATCTTTTTGGAAATAAGGCTATGCGACATTTAATCTAAACATGAGGCCAACTCATATGATTTTGGAAAAATTCAACTACCAATCCTTTATCAGTTTATTTGAAAGAGGATGAACACAGTCCTTAATTCAAAATGCCACCTGCACAATTCAAGTCATCATTTAGGGTGGAAATGAGGTTTCGTGCCAGAGCAGAAATCGCATATGCCGAAGCTGATGAGCAAATTTTCATTTGTGATTTAACCAAGCCAAATGTGGGCAGAGCAAATAACACCTTTTAGTTTGCCATTAATAGTGATGTGAGCTTCATGTGTGACGTAGCATAAAGCAAATTAACTTTTTAAACACACTTCCTCTTATAGCTTCTGACGAGTTTATTTACATCATAAAAAATACTTGTAGTCTGCGAAAAAGAACAGTGCCAATAAAGTCATAATTGAGGTCGCAGCAACCCGGAGCTTAGTCAAGACAGGCCCAGATGCCTCGTATGAGAATATGATTTTAATGGGGATGAACCAGAGGAGGACCTAAATTACCATTCAGAAATTAGGCATAAAGTAAATTCAAGATTCTATTGAATGCTCAATTATAGCTTTGAAGCCTACTTAAGATGAATAAGATAATGTAGTTGATTGTAATGGCAAAACATGAGTTTGCCTAATCGACAATCTCACCAGCAAAATAGTATATTGGAGAGGCATGGCTT